AGCGCGCTCTCGCCTTGGATGTTGACCGTGGACCCGATGCTGAGCTTGGTCTTGCGGCACGACGTCTTGCACTGGCCGTTCTGGCCCGTCGACCCCGACGTGTACGGGTAGTCGGCTTCGGTGCAGATGCCGTTGGCCGAGATGTAGTCGAGCGCCTTCCAAGGCCAGCCGCCCTGGCAGCCTTCGCCCGAGCTCGAGTCGCAGCTCACGAGTTGCTGCTCCGAGAGGTCGAGGAGCGACCCCGTCGCGAGACAGTGCGCCTGCTCGGCCACGGCCACCGACGAGAACGTCCAGCACGACCCGCAGTTGCCCTGGTTCTTCACGGACGGGTTGCACTTGTCGGCGCTCCAGTCGATGCCAGCCGCTTCGGCCTGCTCGATCGTCAAGTCGCGGGCGACCGTGTCGGCGCGCAAGCGGCGCTCGGGCTGACCACGAGCGAACGACCCCTTGACGTACTCGGCAAACTCCTTCTCCGTCAAGAGCACGAACGGGTTGTTGGTCGAGAAGCGCGCCTCGGGGTGGTCGATGTTGAGCTGGTCCACGATCTTCTTGGTGGCCGCGAAGCGGACGATCTCGTCATCCGACACGTCCAGAGACTCTTGGTTGCTGCTGGGCTTGGCCAGGCCTTGCTCGATCGCGACTTTGCCGGCTTCCGTCGCCTTCCACGCCAACACTTCGGTGGCGAGCGTGGCGCGCTCGTCGTTGCTGAGCTGCATCGCCGCCGCCGACGTCGCGGCGAGGGCCATCGTGACAAAGGCGGTCTTCATGGTTGTGGTGGTGGTAGTGGTGTCGGAGACGACGCGAGTTGGAAAATGAGCCGATCGAAACGCAAGATCGAGCGAGGCGCCTCGAGACGGCGATGCCGTTGCGCGATCCGTGGTGCGTGAGGCAGGGCTAGGTCTCGAACATGGGACATCTCTGTCTGAGTCGAGGAAGCAGAATCAGATTATGAAGGTTAAGAAGGACCGTTGTTTTGTGCATGAGCAACGGACGGGAATGCGTTCGTTTGCGTAGTTAGGTACTATGGGCTCAGAAATAGTTGCTTTCATGCTTGGTCAGAGCGCTCGACGAGGAGCCCAAACGAATCATCTGTGTTGCGTTCGCTGGCGAATTGACTAGCGTGGGATATTGGTAGTTGGGTGAACTCAGATGCGACCAGCGTCAATGATGAAGTCGTCCACACATCGTAGAACCTCAAAGCACGAGTGAAGATGCACACCCACAAATCTGAATCGACGACTTCGCAAAGCCTTGAATGTTGCGCGCCGCTGCTTTTATAACACTTTGGGCGGAGAGAACGTGAACTATTTTGTACTCTAGTATAGCCTCGTCAACGGGTGATCAAATCCCGTGCCCCACTGGCATACACAGACCATGTATTACCCATTCGTCGCATCTCACGCTGGGGACGATTCTAACAATTCGTTAAAAGCTGCCAATACCGCTGTTGTCGAGCGCTCTTCAACGCCTGTCGTCGACTCAGATGAGCGATGACGGATGCCGCAAACGAAAAAGATAACGCGGCAAGACCACTGTCTTAAATCCACCGGCGCGCGTTTCGTAGACGCTGCCAAAGTCACAAGCCAACGCCAGTGATCTAGAGTGGGATCTGTGACGTTACGATCTGAGTTGGTGGACCTGCGTCTGAGTTCATCAGATGGGCGCTTCCCACGAACAATACACAGTACCTGGCATATTGTCAAAGACACTGCAAATAGTGCACTTTTATATTCGGTTTGCAAGTGGGTTCCACTTCTGTACCTTCCCAATAGTTGCCACGTCGTTTGCGAAACCCGCTTCCTCAGAAATGTTGACTCGGCAAAGAGAGTCGCTATTCCCAGTCATATCTGACTAGGGCCTCGCCAGACTAGCTAGGGCTTCATCTGAGTTGCTAGTCATAACAGTGAGCTTATCAATGTGCACTAGCGAGTTCAAGCAATATCGGAAAGTAACGTCCTCAAATGTAGATTTACTATCAAACAACATCGGTTCCCTTCCGCATCCTCTCCCAACCTATGCACACTAGCAATGCATTCCCGAAAGTGGAGACCTTCCCAAGATTCTAAATCTGAGCCGCGTTTCACCCACTAAACTCAGACAGAGATGTCCCATGTTCGAGACCTAGCCCTGCCTCACGCACCACGGATCGCGCGACGGCATCGCCGTCTCGAGGCGCCTCGCTCGACCTTGCGTTTCGATCGGCTCATTTTCCAACTCGCGTCGTCTCCGACACCACTACCACCACCACAACCATGAAGACCGCCTTTGTCACGATGGCCCTCGCCGCGACGTCGGCGGCGGCGATGCAGCTCAGCAACGACGAGCGCGCCACGCTCGCCACCGAAGTGTTGGCGTGGAAGGCGACGGAAGCCGGCAAAGTCGCGATCGAGCAAGGCCTGGCCAAGCCCAGCAGCAACCAAGAGTCTCTGGACGTGTCGGACGACGAGATCATCCGCTTCGCGGCCACCAAGAAGATCGTGGACCAGCTCAACATCGACCACCCCGAGGCGCGCTTCTCGACCAACAACCCGTTCGTGCTCTTGACGGAGAAGGAGTTTGCCGAGTACGTCAAGGGGTCGTTCGCTCGTGGCCAGCCCGAGCGCCGCTTGCGCGCCGACACGGTCGCCCGCGACTTGACGATCGAGCAGGCCGAAGCGGCTGGCATCGACTGGAGCGCCGACAAGTGCAACCCGTCCGTGAAGAACCAGGGCAACTGCGGGTCGTGCTGGACGTTCTCGTCGGTGGCCGTGGCCGAGCAGGCGCACTGTCTCGCGACGGGGTCGCTCCTCGACCTCTCGGAGCAGCAACTCGTGAGCTGCGACTCGAGCTCGGGCGAAGGCTGCCAGGGCGGCTGGCCTTGGAAGGCGCTCGACTACATCTCGGCCAACGGCATCTGCACCGAAGCCGACTACCCGTACACGTCAGGGTCGACGGGCCAGAACGGCCAGTGCAAGACGTCGTGCCGCAAGACCAAGCTCAGCATCGGGTCCACGGTCAACATCCAAGGCGAGAGCGCGCTCCAGTCGGCGCTCGACAAGCAGGCCGTCCAGGTCATCGTCGAGGCCGGCAACAACGTCTGGAAGAACTACCAGAGCGGCGTCGTCAAGTCGTGCCCTGGCTCGCAGTCGGACCACGCCGTGCTCGCGGTCGGCTACGGCACGCTCAGCGGCGTCAACCACTTCAAGATCAAGAACTCGTGGGGCACGTCGTGGGGCGCCGGTGGCTACATCTACTTGCAGCGCGGCGTCGGCAGCAACGGCATGTGCAACGTCGCCGAGCACCCGTCGTACCCCGAGATCAACACGACGCCGACGCCGACGTCGCAAGACCCGACCGATGGCCCGACCGATAGCCCGTCGCCGTCGACCAAGACGCCGTCCCCGACCACCAAGAGCCCGTCGCCGACCACCAAGACCCCTGTGCCGACCACGAAGAAGCCCAACAAGTGCCACGGCTGCACGGGGTGCTACTACCCGGATGGCGACGAGTGCTACAACGACTATGACGCCGAGTCGTGCCAAGACTTGAGCTGGGACTACGGCACCATCTGGTGCGGCAACTAGGCGCCAACACGGTCGTCGTATGTGTGTGCACACAATTCGTCCTCGCGATCTCTACGGCGCGGTACATGTCCAACGTCGTCGTCTAACAATGAAATTCCAGCCATTCGCGTGTATATCTCGTTCTGGTGCAGTTGGAGTCTGCAAAGCGGGTTGGTGAAGCTGTTGGTGATCTGGTGCCAGACATTAGTTTTGTAGTGCCTTTATGGCAACGATGGCTACACTTGTCGTGAGTCTCTGACGCCGCTCGTTTGGATTAATTTATAAAATCAAGACCGCGGAGGGCGACGCTTCTAGCATACCAAAATGGGAATAAGAAAAAGACTGCAGGTAAAGAGTAGAGAGGATCGATCTACGTACGGGCGATGGGGGGCCGCTTCGAGCGCGAGCGACGTTGGCATTTCGAGATGGTTGATCGATGCGTCGGGTACCACCTCCGACAACTATATCAGACCACTTGTCGGGAAGGATCCAAGGCGACGCAACGATGGAATATGCGACCATGGACGGTGTCGGAATGGCGTCGGAAGGGTAAACGTCGGGGGTGTCGCCGGTCGTGCGTAAGCGGCAATGAGCTACCGCCAATCCACTATGAAGCGTGTACGAGGAGAGCTCTCGGCAGTTGTACGCGCGTCCTGGGACGCCCCGACGATACCGCAGACCAGTGGGATCTCGTTATAGCGCGGGTATCTTCCGCAACTATACGCCCTGAGTCTGTATATTGAGGCTCAAGAAGACGACGCACTGTGGAGCTCGTGGGCGATGATGCGGCGCTGGAGTGGGCGCTTCATGTGCAATGAGCATAATGGGGCGGCCTGAACCGAGAAAGAACTGCCAAAACACTACTTTTTGCTGGCAACCCCTGGCATTTTTAGTCACTTGCAAAAATGTCAAATAACGTCAAAATTACCGAATCTGTCCACCCTGGGTCTAGAACCATCTCTTGGTCAACTGGAGGATCGTGGTTCTCATAGTTAACAATCTTCTTTGACGATGACAGCGCACTTGGTCCCGTGCCCACCGACTGGCGCGACTTCCCGACGTGGCTGCTGACGTTCTTGTCTGTCGCCGTCACGCGCGGTCTGGACGCGTACTTTACGGCGCCAAACTCGATGTGTACACACTCGTATCACGGCAGCTCAGATGGTCACCTTCAAGATGCCGCTCGCCGAGCTCCGCGCCAACGATGTGCGCGATGCAAAGCAGCTGCTGCTCACTGCTGTCGACGGCGCGATCTCCGAGAAGGTGTAGCACGGTGTTGGCGGGCTGTACGACATGTGGATGCGCCTTTGCACCCTTGCCTGCAACCATGATAGGCTTGCAGGCAACGGTGCAAAGGCACATTCACAAGCGTCGTAGGGCGACGACAGAAGAGCCAGACGAGCCCCCGCGCCGCCGCCTGCGCAGCCACGGCCCGGCGAGCGAAAGAAGAAGAAGAAGGAGATTGCTAGTCTCTACGTATGCGAAGTCTTTGTGTAATTATGGAGATAACGCGAAACAAGCTCGAATACAGCTCTGCGTGCGTGCTTGACGCCGGTGGAACAGGGATAGTTTCGTGCGGAACGCGTGAAGCACGCGTGAAGCAGTGTTTTTGTCCAAGGCCAAGCAATTGCGCCTTCTTGAGCCGCTTCGCCGGACCGCCATCTCGCTTAAGATGGCGGCGCAGTCAGCTCGCTAAATTCTGCAAGGCGTATCCACAATGATCGAAGACCAAGCCAACAGGCTCGTTTGCAATTTGCTCGTCCAGCTCCATTCCTCGTAGCTACAGTGTACATCACGCATTTAGACCCACCCACCAGTCTTTTCTTGGACGGCGGCGAACCCCAACACGGACTCTGTTCGTCTTCCCATGCACTTGCGCTTTAGCCTCGGGGACGAAAGCCGATGTACCTGGCGGCGGCTTTGTACTGAAGCGTTGCCTCCTCGTGCACGCCGCGTGGCAGTAGGGACGGCTGGGAATGTGATGTGGCGCTCTGGCGCACAGTCTTGCTGTAGCATGTAGTGACTCGGATGCTTGCCACCAGGGCATGCTTCGATGCGCTGTTGGATTGGTCGCCCATCGGCCCAACTCAACACAACACTGCTCGACAGCTGAAATCCGCCTTTAGGACGCTAGAGACGTCGCCCAATCGCCGTTGGGCTAGGATCTACTCGGCCTAACACACCACAACACTGCTCAACAACTGAAATCCGCCTTTAGGACGCTAGAGACGTCGCCCAATCGCTAGATTGGTTTCATTGGTCGAAATGTGATGCAGCCTTTCATTCGGCATTTGCCGATTGCATCAATTTACGGATATTCTGTTGGTATCCGGCGTTATAAATTGCGGCAGATGCCGAAATAACGGTATTTTGGATCATCATTTTCAGATCGGATCGCGAGGGACGGCGATGGACATGGCGGCCCAAGAGGGAAATGTTCGACCCGCGACGACCCATGAGAAGAAGGGTACGAAGATCATGGAGATATCTCCGAGGTAGACGTCGACGCATGTGATCCCAGACGAGCTCTATGGGGTGGATGACGTGGACGCTGTCGCCCAGCGATGTCGGATGCTCGAGGCCGAGGCGGTACTTGGAGACGTATACGTTCCATGCGCGAACGAATGTGTAGATGCACCGGGTCTTGAAGCAGCAAGAGGTCCGAGCTCGGATCCGCTCCTTTCGACTTGCTATCGCTCGGGCCGAGGTCGAGCACGACAAAGTACGAGGATGCGAGGCCAAGTACAACCTGAGCTCATTCTGCTCAAGACAAGCGAAGACGTAAAGGCCTTGAAGGGGCGGTACTACGACGCAAGGTACGGACGAGCTTGCACGGGGCAGGTGTTGAGAACGCTTGTAGACGGTCTTTTGTGGGCTTGGTGCCAGCCTACTCCCTCGAGGCGGAGACAGTACGTCAACAAACGACCTGCCGGTGGTCTACGCGCTAATATTGCAGATGATCGAGGACATTCTCGACTTGGCCGACAAGCCCAAGACTTTGCAAGGTACGCAGTATCATCTTTACTCTTAAGACCATCCATCGATGCCATGTAGCGGAGCTCGACGCCGTGCGCACCAAGAAACTCGAGCTACAGCAGCAAGTACCGTGCTCCTTGCCATGCATCTTGTGCAATGCAACTTTCTTTAGCTTCTCCTGCAAGAGAAGAATTGGACAGCGCTTACGAAACTCAGTTCGGGTCAGGCTCATCGCGTCGTGTCGCTCGAGAAGGAGATCCATGACCTTGAAGCGGAGATGACGCACATGGACGAGCAGTGCCACATGTCCCGCATGAGCCACCAAGACTGGATGAACAAGATCCAAGCGATTCGTGATCAGGTGTCTCCCATTAATTGTTTCCATTGAGATCTCAACCACCACATTGTGCCCAGGAAGCGCGAGTGAAGAAGCAGGCGTCGCGGCGTACCAAGTTGGCACCCCACACGACCAAAGCGACACAGTCCAAGTCGACACGCAACGTGACATCGCCGTACACCAAGTCGCCACTCCGACGTCGCGGCTCCCGTGCAGTTGAGCACACGACCGCCGCCGACCTCATCGAGTCCCTCCAAAAGCGGCGCTACACACCGGTACCGTCAAGCCCTCGCAAGCCCAAGAAACTCGACGACGAAGGCTATTAGTTTTTGCGACGCGTCATGTGGTCGTAAATAACAACCTGCATGTACTCGGCGGTCTTGATTTCGGTCCGAGTCGAATTGTCGCCCGGGTTGGCCTATGAAACTCCATGAGTGCAGCCGCCGCATCAAGCTACGTACTTTGGGGTCCACGTTGATGACCTTGCGATCGCGTTTGTTCTTGAAAAGCAAGCCCGTCTCGCTGTCCGCAATGACTTGAAAATTGGGGCTCGAGTTGGACGTGCAAGTCTGCGTCTCCCAGTTGTAGTAGCTTAAGTCGGAAGGTTTCGGCAAAAGGCGCTTCTTCCGCTCAAAGTATGGCTCGAACGGCTCCGACTTGAGACGCAGCGCATAGTCGATGTAGCCGCTCACTTCTTGGCCCTTTGGATTACGGTCTCGGATAAAGATGATCGACTATCCAGCGGTATCCATCAAGTTAGGAGCCCGATTCGTGTCCATATACTACCGTGAGCTTGCCGTTGCGAACCATCTCTTCGCGGCTTGCGAGCGCCGAGAGGAACGGCAGCTGGGAAAAGTCTTTGCCAGCGCTGGCAAGCTGCTTGGGCAAGTTGGTCTTTTGGGCGTTCCGCTCTCGCTCCGTCTTCTTCCGCGCCTCAAAGTCTTCGCGCCGGAGCGTCTCGCCCGTGCCGCGGTACCCGAGCTCGATGAGCTGCCGCGCGAGCTCTTCGTCTTCGAGGTAGAAGAGGTCCGTCTCGCTGATCTGCGAGTCCAAATAGTCTTCGTACGTGGCGTATGGGTCGAGCGAGTCGCTCGTAAACTGGAAGTCCGTCGGCGGGTCGTGCTCGGTCATCGCGCTCTCGAGTTCGATGCAAACCGACACGCCGTTTCTCAACTACCCGAGTAATTCACGGTTCCACCCGAAGGTCATTATCGTGGCACATATTAATCAATCAATCTCGGTGAATATCGACTACGGATCTCACAAGGACACTTGCTACTTCGCTAGTTGTCCGCCGAGGACAATTTAAGCATTTCCTAGTCTAGCAGCTACGTGATACTCTCTCGTCGATTGTGGGGAGCGTAATGCACCAACGCTACACCACCCACGCAGTCCGAGAACACAAACATCATGTGTATTCAAATGTGGACAATGACATCGATATGCACAAGTCACCAACGAAAGAGCAGAGACGAAGCACCACAAGACGCCTAGTTGCCGCACCAGATGGTGCCGTAGTCGCCGCTAAGATCTTCGCACGTCGCCGCATCAAAGTCGTAGCAGCCGTCACCGGCCGGGTAGTAGCACTGGCTGCAGCCGTGGCACTGGTCCGCCGTCGGCGCCGGCGTCGGCGCGGGTGTCTTGGTCGGCGGGTTTTGCGACGTGGGCGTCGGCGACGTGCTAATCTTGGGGTACGACGGGTGCTCGGCGACGTTGCACATGCCGTTGCTGCCGACGCCGCGCTGCAAGTAGATGTAGCCACCGGCGCCCCACGACGTGCCCCACGAGTTCTTGATCTTGAAGTGGTTGACGCCGCTGAGCGTGCCGTAGCCGACCGCGAGCACGGCGTGGTCCGACTGCGAGCCAGGGCACGACTTGACGACGCCGCTCTGGTAGTTCTTCCAGACGTTGTTGCCGGCCTCGACGATGACCTGGACGGCCTGCTTGTCGAGCGCCGACTGGAGCGCGCTCTCGCCTTGGATGTTGACCGTGGACCCGATGCTGAGCTTGGTCTTGCGGCACGACGTCTTGCACTGGCCGTTCTGGCCCGTCGACCCCGACGTGTACGGGTAGTCGGCTTCGGTGCAGATGCCGTTGGCCGAGATGTAGTCGAGCGCCTTCCAAGGCCAGCCGCCCTGGCAGCCTTCGCCCGAGCTCGAGTCGCAGCTCACGAGTTGCTGCTCCGAGAGGTCGAGGAGCGACCCCGTCGCGAGACAGTGCGCCTGCTCGGCCACGGCCACCGACGAGAACGTCCAGCACGACCCGCAGTTGCCCTGGTTCTTCACGGACGGGTTGCACTTGTCGGCGCTCCAGTCGATGCCAGCCGCTTCGGCCTGCTCGATCGTCAAGTCGCGGGCGACCGTGTCGGCGCGCAAGCGGCGCTCGGGCTGGCCACGAGCGAACGACCCCTTGACGTACTCGGCAAACTCCTTCTCCGTCAAGAGCACGAACGGGTTGTTGGTCGAGAAGCGCGCCTCGGGGTGGTCGATGTTGAGCTGGTCCACGATCTTCTTGGTGGCCGCGAAGCGGACGATCTCGTCATCCGACACGTCCAGAGACTCTTGGTTGCTGCTGGGCTTGGCCAGGCCTTGCTCGATCGCGACTTTGCCGGCTTCCGTCGCCTTCCACGCCAACACTTCGGTGGCGAGCGTGGCGCGCTCGTCGTTGCTGAGCTGCATCGCCGCCGCCGACGTCGCGGCGAGGGCCATCGTGACAAAGGCGGTCTTCATGGTTGTGGTGGTGGTAGTGGTGTCGGAGACGACGCGAGTTGGAAAATGAGCCGATCGAAACGCAAGGTCGAGCGAGGCGCCTCGAGACGGCGATGCCGTTGCGCGATCCGAGGTGCGTGAGGCAGGGCTAGGGTTCAGTCGACGTCTGAGTCTGCGGGTCTGAGTTGATCAAACCAGATTGAACTATGTGCAGTATGTGAACCCACGAGGGATAACCTCATGATTTTCTGTGATTGTTCAGCCGACAGAGTAGAATGTTGATTGCTACGGATGTCGTTTCGAAGCACGTCAAATGTACTATGGCTGCGGAGCGGCTTTGTTGTGTCTGTGTGCTCCGTTGCATGTAGTCTGTCAAATGAAATGACTTGAATGACGAGGACGTTACATTTTGGATCACAATGCCGGCGCACTCGCGGGCTGTGATAGGCTTCACATCCCGCCTTCTAGCTGCGTGTCTACCGTAGTAGGCCACTGACTACCGCTGTTTGCGACAACTGTTTGCGAACTCTGATGCAAGCCCACCTACTCAGATGCCGATGTCAATGATCCCACTTGAACCTTCTTTTGCTTGTTCCTTGGAACGGTGACACGCATGGGTCAGGATTCAACACCGTGATCCGACGACGTTATCTGGTGAGAATGGTGTAATAAAATCGGCCCCAGCGTATCCAAGCAAATCCAAAGAAAAACGCATGTCGTACGAGCAAATCATACGACGGTCGCCTTTAACTTCTCGACCATTTGACTGGTGGGCAGAGACGGGACATCTGGTTCATACCCATGATGGCGTCAAAGCTGCTACCGCTCGAACCAAAATCCACCAACGAAAAGATGCAATACGACCTAAACGTTGCCTCACGAGGAATACTCGTTATATCGTGTAAGCATATTATTGTAAGCTAGATTTCCCTTTGACACATTCATACGTGAGTTTGCACTTGTATAGTTGCGCAATTCGCCATATAGGCCCATTAGCCCAATGAAAGCCCCAGAGAACAATAGAAAAGCTACAGGAGAAGCTTCTTGCCCAGCCACGAGAAACAGAAGATACTCTTACCGGTATGCATCGAACAGAGGCGGCAAACTCAGCAGCGCAACATCCCACTGAGCTATGCCGGACCAAGCTCCAAGCTCCAATTCCGCAATGTGATCATTATACTCTGTTTCGACTTTGTAAAATACCCCGAATCGCTACTCAGAAGTGAATCTGAGCCCGTCAGATCATGATGCCTGCCACACGCAAAAACAAGTGCATCCAGAGTATGACTGTCGGGGAAGGGACGATCACTCCACAACCATAACAAAGTCAAGTATTCCCCACGACTACGCACCGTTATAACCCT